CGAATCATTTGGTGCAAAATAAATAAATTCCTTCAGTAGAACATTATCACAGGATCAGAATGTCCTACTTTGGAAAGGAAAGAATGAACACAATGTAGCTTTACAGTAACAGCAGGAAACCATTATTTTGTTGCTCACAGTGGTATGTTTCAGCCCATGTTTTCTTAGAAGGAACCACAAATCCAAAGTGTTAGCTAAACTAATCACGAATAATATCAAACGAGCTCTCTGATTATAGCCAGTGATCATTACATTAGCTGGAAGCCTACGAATTTGCTACCTTTCAAGAGTCATGTTGTGTGAATTATTTCATAATACACCCTAATAAAAAGATTAATTGAAGTAAGATAATAATAATAGCTCACAATTCTTGAGCTCCTCCTATAAGCCAGGTGCTGTGAGAGACACTTACATATCTTATATGATTTTTTAAGTGAAACATAAACTCAAGATTATATTTTCTTCTAATAAAACAAAATATGACACTTAGAACTAGATCATTTGGCCCTTTCTCTTCTTATCAAAATGCTTGCTTCTCTTAATAGCCAGCATTCTCTTAGATCCACAGTTGGGATCAACACATTCAAGCCTCAGCACAATCTTCTTTATAGATTTAACCTTTTTCCAGAAAATCCATCCGCCCACCATAGCCACGTGCTTCCTGTCATAACGCTGTTTTCCCTGGCATACAGAGAATCCTTGCCCCTCTTGTAATGTGTCACTTTGTGGGGTTAGTGTTTGCCACACTTCTTACAGAAAGTCTGGCAGTTTTAGGAATGGTCACCATGTCTGTGAGAGTGCTATCCTTGTATAATTCTTAAAACAACCCAACAATGGTTCACTGATGAGCTTTCTCCCCAGATGACAGATGAAGAAACTCAAGTTGATTGTAATAAAAAAAAAAATGATGTGATATATATGACCACTGTCTTTGATTTGCCAGTATAGGGGAGGAAAAAAAAATCTTTGCCTCCTCCTCTTCTAAATTCTCAGCTGGGGCCCCTGTAACAAAGGACAGAGTATCCAGAGAAAAGCATACAGATTTTTTAATGTAAGTTTTACCTGACATGGGAGCCTTCATAAGGAAATGACCTGAGGAAACAGTTAAACCTGAGTGTTTTTATACTACGTTTGACCAAAAATGGGGACTCGTGGAAAATGTGCTAGGTCAAAGGGTTAGGAGCAGACAGTAGTACAGTGGGGGAAATATAGCAAGGCTTATTCAGATTCTTCTCAGAGTCCCTCCTTCCTCAGAGGTAAGGATGCTTCCCTCAGGGTATATGGAAGGCACCTCTCACGTGAGGCTCATATGACCTGCTTCAAGGAGACCAGGAAAATCAGAGAGTCCTTCCTGAAACTGCTGTTTCTCAAACTCCTTCCGCTTAAACCATTCAATATACCAAGGTGCCATATTTTGGGGTAGCATGTCCTGTACTTTATCAGTATCTATGGTGGATTGAGAAAAAAATGTGAAATAGTACCTACAAATAAGACAATGGGAAATAGAAGTACATTAGAAATAGAGGGAAAATGGGAAACAGGAGTCTGGAGGCAGGAAAATACATTATAATAGTAGCAGATGACTCTCTATCAGACAGTGAGCCTCACTTGACTGCCTCATTTCATCCCCACAGCAACCTAGTCAAGTAGATACTATTATTATCCCTCTTTTCCAGATGCAGAAATTGAGGCTTGGAACTTTTGACTAACTTCGCAAGGCCACTCAGGTAGGTAGTAAGTGGAACTGCAATTTGAAACCAGGGTCTGCCTGACTCCAGGGCCCTAGTCCTTCACTACCATAAAATACCGCCCGCCCAGAAATGCTTGTGATTGTGGATTTCATCAAAGCACGTGGTGAGGATGGGCTGGTGGGAAAGAGGGCAGTTTAACCACTGAAGAGATGAGGGTGACAGAGAGGGAAGATAGACATGGAAGACTGGAAAGGAAACGGAGAACTAAAATTCAACTCGGGCCGCCTGAGTGGCTCAGTCGGTTAAGCATCTGTCTTCAGCTCGGGTCATGATCCCAGGGTCCTGGGATCGAGTTCCACATGGGGCTTCTTGCTCAGCAGGGAGTCTGCTTCTTCCTCTGCCCCTCCCCCCCACCCCACCCACCCGGCTCATTCTTGCTCTCTTGCTTTCTCGTGCGTGTGCAAAAATAAATAAATAAAATCTTAAAAAAATAATAATAAAAATAAAATAAAATTCAACTCTGCGTAAACATCCTAGATATATTTAGATATCTCAAGAGACAGTGGGGAGCAAGGGCAGTGACAGATGAGACATCACTGGAGTGTCTTTGGGGGCTGCCATGACTTCTCTTCATCCCAAACTGGCGAGCCAGTCTTCGGGCCAAGGAAGACATTCTGTGTTCTGGAACTGCAGCGTTGATCAGGCAAAACGCCACATCTAACCAATTATCTGTAGTTTGGGGGTGGCTAGAGCATGGGCTTGGCTCCCTTCCTTGGTTAGGGTAGCTGCAGCAGCGATTAAAGTAGCCTCAGTCTGACTGCCAAAAAAAAAAAAGAGAGAGAGAGAGAGAGATAAACAGAAAGCTGTACATATTTGAATACTGTGTTAATGTTCTGGCTATGCAAAGCAATTCTATTAATCTTGCCTATTGGTCTCTCGATTCCAACAGTCGTATTAGGGACCTGGCTTCCAACACACAGTCCTTGAAGAGGACAGGTTGGGGTGCAAGGAAGAGAGTCTGGGATTTCTTAAAGAAAGAATTTGCATCCACAATACCAAACTTGGAGTGCTATCAGAATTTTCTCTCCTGAAGCCTTTCCCTGCTTGTCTGGAATTCCACTTAGTCCTCCTTTCCTCTGAGGGGCTGCTTCCCCATCTTGATGTTCAGTTCCATCATTATCCTAGGAGTGGGAGGTAAATTTAGGTTTTGGAAATTGAGTGGACCAGAAAGAAACTTCATATACATTTTTTAAAAACCTTACCTCACCCCCATCCTCCTCTCCCTCTTCATTGTCCTCTCAAGGTCAGACCAACACTTTTAGACTACAGATCTATTAAAAGATAATTTTTTAACAGATAAATCATGACTCATATACAAATATAAAATTAACATGTCTCAAATGTTTTATTTAACTCATTAATGAATGATAGAATCAGTAAGATGTTGCCATGGGTTAAAAAGAGATTTCAAAGTGTCACACATATATAGGCCATCAGGAATGTTGAAATGAGTTTATAAACAGTTGCAAAAATTGGCAAAACTGGTTAGTAATTCACAGGGCAATAATCAATTGCATTCCACTGGACACAATTCATTCATATTTCTGTGGACAAGGATCATTTGCATTATTATAAGTTGTCGACAATGTGAACAATTGTGAAATATTCAGACAGTAACAGGCAGAGAACCCGAAAACACACACCAGGTAGGATACTCAGAATCTGTCTTCCCATTTCAGTATCCTTCACAATTTTTCCTGACAGGCCCTAAATGCTGAAAAACTTATATCCCTCTTCATATGTAATTCAACATAATATATATATACACACACTAAACCAAACTCATAAATTTCATAATGAAAGTAAAATAATTTTTTTCCAGAATTTTCTTACTGCAAAATGATACATTAATCCATGGAAGTTAAACCTTTTTGTTGTTTTACTGCCTCTGCTTTACAGGTATACTAACTTAGTCCGCTTTTGGAGTAATAACTCATCCCATGACAACCCAGCTTTTGGCCACACTGGTGACATCTTTAGTAAAATCCTCTTATAGGCCAATAGGCTGAGTATTTTCTAATGAAATAGATCCAAGGAAAAAAAAAATGGAAGAAACATGTGGTACTGTCACTGTGAATGGGTAAAATCTCTGAAATAAAAGCCAACCATAGGGGGGCCTGGCTGGCTTGGTTGGAAGAACATGCGACCCTTGATCTTGGGGTTGTGAATTCAAGCCCCATGTTGGGTGTAGAGATTACTTTAAATTTTTTAAAAATCTTTAAAAAGCCACAACAACCATAAATCATATTTTTCAGGACACCTACATATCACAAATCATGTCTTACAGTATACTTCTGTATTAAGACCACTGTACTGATTTTAATTCTAATGTTCCACTTAATGTGCCAAGAGGTTAAGGAGTGTGTGTGTGTGTGTGTGTTTGTAAGCAGTATGATAAGATGTCACCTGGAAAACACTTTAGATATTTGTTGGGTCTGTTAGTTAAATGGATAGTTTTTTATTATTCAATGTAAAATAACTAATTACAAATTTAAACAAATTATTTATTTTATTTTTTTTTGACATTTTATTTATTTATTTGAGGGGAGGGGGCAGAGGGAGAGGGAGAAGCAGACTCCCCGCTGAACAGGAAGTCTGACACAGGGCTGGATCCCAGGACCCTGAGATCATGATCTGAGCTGAAGGCAGACGCTTAATGACTGAGCCACCCAGGCGTCCCTGAACACATTATTTTATTTATTTATTTATTTATTTATTTATTTATTTATTTATTTATTTATTTATTTTAAAGATTTTGTCTATTTATTTGACAGAAGGAGAGACAGCAAGAGAGGGAACACAAGCAGGGGGAGCGGGAGAGGGAGAAGCAGGCTTCCCGCCGAGCAGGGACCCCGATGTGGGGCTCGATCCCAGGACCCTGGGATCATGACTTGAGCCGAACGACTGAGCCACCCAGGCGCCCCTGAACAAATTATTTTAAATAAAAGTTGCCTAGGAAGCAAGCAGCTTTCTAGATTTGAAAATGAGAAGGTGGGGACTGACAGGGGGATAAAGGATGAAAAGTTGAAGGCTTTTGGTTATACTTTCCTCCAAGTGTTCTAACTCTGAGCTGGGAGTAGAAATAGTCCGTAGAGTATAGTCAAGTAGAATCTAAAGGGTGCCCCGAAACAACAGCAGCATGCGTCCCAGGGTGACCCTTGCCAGCTGGGACCGAGCCCCCGCTAGCCACCAGCACCATCAGTGAGCACCAGGGGTTTGCCAGGAGGACGTGATCAGGGGAAGGCTGTTGCTCCGTGGTTAACACTTCCACCCAGCTCCATGCGGGCAAACATCCAAATTAGACAAAACTGATGGCCAGGCTACTGCTCTCCATTTCCACATCTGTTTAGGTTCCTCTTGGTTCTTGCTCCAGACATGATTTCTGCATTCTGACTCCTGGCTGATCCGGTTCCTGCAGCTTTCTTTGTTCCTGGTCTTACTGAGTGAGTGTCCATCCTTGGCTAATAAATAAGCTACATTCTCTGACGCACGGCTTCCTTTAGCTGGCTGCCTTCATTCCTCCACATGTGGTGGAACATCGGTGCTCCAGGCTCCGAGTCAGCTCTGTCCTGTGTGGTGAGTTCTCCCCTGGCAGGTCCCCAGCAGCGGCGGCCGCACCTCCTTCCTCGAGGTCACTCTACGCTTCCCGCCCCAGCAGGCTTGCTTCCTCCAGGAGCCCCGCAGCACTACCACAAGCTATTTCCTGGCTCAGGTTTATCCAGATAGACGACTTGGTTGCTGAGATAATTCCAGAATTCTGATGGTCCCAGCTTGGAATAAGAAGGAGAAAGTAAGCAAATTTTGACGATAATGATAGAGGTTGATGTTTCATAGGTAAAATTATTGACTTAACCCCCACGTCTATATTTATCTAAGATCTTCCTCACTTGTTCTTTCAACAGGTATTTATTGAGCATATTTCAAGTGCTGGGAATTGTTCTAGCAACTAAGGATATAGCAGAGACTAAAAAAAAACAAAGTTTGGGTACTCAGAGCTTACACTGTACATCTAATGGGGTTTCTTAGAGAGAGGAGGTAAATAATTAATGATTTAAAGAGTTCTACTTTAGAGAGGGGAGAACTTCAGTGTCTAATTGGTATGCTAATATATGCTCTCAGTTAATCACAGATAAAGTAACCATTAATTCTGTGGCCCCTACCTGAAATCAGGGCACAGTGTTCCAAAAGGTATAGTCTTGCAAGCCTTAAAGAGTTGAGACATAGCAAATATCCTGGCCTGTGTTTTTTTCCAACTTTTTATTATGAAAAATTCCAAACATTCAGAAAAGTCGAAAGACTAGTGCAGAGAACAATTACATACTTATAATCTAGATCGATTATTAACATTTTGCTATATCTGATTGACCTGTAATTATTTATGTATTTTCAACTTATTATTTGAAGATAATCTCAAGCTTGCAAAAGAGTTACAAGAAAAATTCAAAGAATCCTCTCAAATCCTTTTTTACCTCTATTCACCAATTGTTAAATTTTTGCTCCATTTGTGTTTATATTCTGTCTGTGTAATGTGTGTATGTAGTTTTTCCGAATCATTTGAGAGGAAATTACATACCTCCCAGCTCCCTTCTCCCTATATATTTTAGTGTCTATTTCTTAAGAGCAAAGACATTCTTCTACATAATTGCTGTATACTTAATAATCACAGGAAATTTTAAGTTGATGCAATACTTTTAGCCAATCCCTAATCCATGTTCTAGTTCTGTCAATTGCTTCAATAATGTCCTTTTTGGCCTTCTATTCTTCTCTAGTATAGGATGCAGTCCAGAATCATATATTACATTTAGTTGCCATGTGTCTTTAGTCTCTTTTAATCTGGAACATTTCCATAGCCTTTCTTTGTCTTTGATGACATTGGCATTTTTAAAGAAAACAGAACTTAAAAAAAAAAAAAAAAGTTCCTCATTTAGGGGTTGTCTTTTTTGTTTTTAAGGATTTTATTTATTTATTTGACAGACAGAGACACAGCAAGAGAGGGTAAACAAGCAGGGGGAGTGCGAGAAGGAGAAGCAGGCCTCCCGCGGAGCTGGGAGCCCGGTGCGGGTCTCCATCCCATGACCCTGGGGTCATGACCTGAGCCGAAGGCAGACGCTTAACGACTGAGCCACCCAGGCGCTCCTAGAGGTTGTCCGATATCCATCTCGTGTCACAGGTTGAGTTCTTCTAGAAGAAAACTCAGAGACAGAGTTTAATGATTGGATATTAGATTGTGTCCTTAGGATCAATACCCGTGTGTGGAAGGTGGAAAGACAATTGGGCAGGGGGAGAAATTGAGCTGCAAGGTAGGACTGGCAACCATAGCGAGAGGTGGGCCTGTGAAGCTAAAATGGACCCATCAGAATTTCCCCCCACGAGGCCACCATGGCCAGGCCTTTCTACTTCCCTTCCGATCCTCACTGCAGGTGAGCCACTCTAGAAGGCATGGCCCCAGAAAGGAGCTCTATGTAGTAACAGCGGCCTCTGAAAGGCTGCTCATTGGACTCTGTCTCTTGATGGCTCGCCCACAAGCTTGGGCAACAAGTTTGGGATCTAGACTATGTAGTAACTATACCTCATTAAAAAAAAAAATAAAGGCAAAAAATCAATATCTAACCAATTGTCACAGATTACATTGTTTTTCTTTTTTTTTTTTTTTTTCTTTTCTTAAAGAAAGCTCTAGGGGCGCCTGGGTGGCTCAGTGGGTTAAGCATGTGCCTTCGGCCCAGATCATGATCTCAGGGTCCTGAGATCGAGTCGCAGGTGGGCTCCCTGCTCAGCGGGGAGCCTGCTTCTCCCTCTGTCTCTCCCTCCAGCTCGTGTTCTCCCTTGTGCTCTCTCTCTCTCCCAAATAAATAAATAAAAGCTTTAAAAAAGAAAAAGAAAGCAAGCTCTACATGTAATGTGGGTCTTGAACTCATGACCCCAGATCCAGAGTTGCATGTTCCACTCACAGCCAGTCAGGCACCCCTCTTTTCTCTTTTAATCTGGAACTACCCTTCTATTTGTTTTTCCTTGACAAAGGCTAAACAGAACAGGTCTGATGTTTCAGAAGATTCAGAAACAGAATCTTCCTGTTTTTCAAATTTTCAGTGTTTTGACATTAAGTCACAAGAACTGAGGAAAATACCATTTGCTTTTAATTCAATGATTTTAAGTATTAATACAGATGAAACAATTTTCAAAGATGTGGACTATCTTTGCTAGCATAGTCATTGAAGGCCCACTTTTATATTAATTATTAATAAAGGAGAATCATAGAGAAGAGATAAAATGATTTATGACACCAATTTTATTACATATTTATATAATCGAGTTAACTCAGTATTTGTGCCTGTGTGTGTATATATAGCTAGATACTACTTAACCTTCACATTTTCTTCTCTAGCAAAGAACGAAACAAAAAGCTGCTTTGTGTTTTTTCTGTAATTTGCTAGTGAAAACAGGAAATGAAAGAATCATATTATCTTGTCCCATCATATTATGTTGTACCATAATCATATTACATGATATTGTTACTAAAGCTTCTTTAGTCCTTTAAATGTAGCACTCATTATAAGCAGCTCTAATCCTCTTAAAATATTATGACTCATTCATTATAACAAATTAAGGAAGACATGAGACACAAAGATCTTTTCAGATTATTTCCAGACAGGCTTCTTTAACTAATGTCCTTCAGTTGAGCTAGTTATAAGTTTTCTGATGGAAAATAATTATCTCTGCTAGGTATTAGTCAAATACTTTCAAAATTTGTCAGTGGCCACCACCTTGACAAGGGACAGGAGTATCTTCCTCTCTCCCGCTCTCCTTCCCTCCATCCCTCCTCTCTCCTTTTTTCCCTTGTTTTATGGAAAGAATTTACTGCTAAAAGTATATCATAGTACTCATTTTCCACCCAAACAAAGATCTATCCCATAAACATTAAAGGAAGTGGGAAATCATCAACATAAAATTTACAACTTTTAAAGCTAAAGATTTAGTGTTACGTGAGGATAAAATATAGTAGAGAATTGGTCGATTTTGCCTATTTTGAGCCCATATGTTTTGATTCAGCACCATTCCTTGAATATTCATTGTGTTTAAGTCTCTGTACTGGACCCTTTGATAAGTCACAAATTTGACTGATTGATTGATTCACTCATTTATTCATTCATTCACTTTTATAGTCTCTACAACCAAAGCAAGTTTAGGAAGGAGAAGAAGGTGGTGGAAAAATATACATGTTTCCATAGGAGTTTAACTAGTAAGTGGACTATATTACTATTCTTAGACTTAATAAGCCTAATTTTTTATTCTTTAACTCGTTTTAAAGATTTATTTATTTATTTCAGAGAGAGAGAGCGAGCAAGGGTGAGCAGGAGGGGTAGAGGGAGAGAGACCATCTCAAGCAGACTCGGAACTGAGCACAGAGCCTGACTCGGGGCTTGATCTCACGACCCTGAGATCATGACCTGAGCTGAAACCAAGAGTCGGACGCTTAACCTAGGCACCCCTAAGCCTGATTTTTTAAAGAACACCATGCTTTTTGAGCCACATGGTTCCCATATGCACAAAGTATGCCTATTCAAACTCCCCATCCAGGTGACATGAGCAAAACTAGCAGAGGAAGGACCTCAGAAAACTCTCTTGTCCACAAAGCAGCAAGGAACTGGCAAAATGGTCTGAATTGACTTTTTCAGAACTCTGATATTTATCCAAAGGCTTGGGCAACAATCTGGGAGTGTTCGTCAAAATCAAACAAAAACAACAAAATTGAAAATGGCTTAATCTCAGTAAAAGAAGTGAGCTGTGTGGCACGTATAACTTGCTCTAGTCTTACCCTGCTTTGCAATCTTCTTGAAAACTAACAACCTGCATCCCAGTGAAGGCCAGCAGTCTGGTAGCAACTGAAAGGAACAGAAAGTAGTTTGGGAACTCCTTAAAAGCTTCATTCCCAGAGAATTATTATGTACCTGTCTGGTGGCTCCCTGCAAAGCCTCACTTGCAAGACTATCCATATTTGATCCAAGTCAGCTCACCTACGGTGAAAAGCTTTTTCCCGTAAACATTTATCGAAAATAATAACAGGCAGTTATTTAGCTTTGCAGCTGCCTGAGGAGACGGATACCAGTTGAGGGAAAACATTAGACTAACCAAAAGCTTTATTTAAAAAAAAATTTAAGATTTATTTATTCATTTATTTGAGAAAGAGTGCATGCGCGCGTGAGGGGCAGAGGGAGAAGGAGGAAGATGATACCCCGAATCCAGGCTCCATTCAAGACCCTGAGATCATGACCTGGGCCAAAACAAAGAGTCAATGCTTCACTGACTGAGCCACCCAGGCACCCCTAACCAAAAGCTTTAAAATAAAGACTTGAGGAATGAGACATACCGAGAGGCTTTGACAAGCTCTGACGTATACCTGAGAATCAAGAAGGCCACATGCAAGTATAGGGTTTTGCTCGTGCCCAGGGTTCTGTGCATTGCCAAGAAAGCCATGAAAAGGCCCTAAGCTTTCACCCTGGATAAACTTGAAGGTTCTGTGAGCAGAAAATGAAGGCTAAGGCAGAGTTGAAAGTGTGCCCCCAACATGCATCAGCGCCCCTCACTAAAAACTAGGAGACTTATTGGTTCCAGGCATTTAAGGAAATTTCTGGGTCCTACATTATACCTTCTGAGCTTTGCAAGGTGTAGCAACAAAGGAAAGGTTGCATAAGCCATGGCTTTGATGTTTCTCTGCATTCTTGATTCCCCCCATTTCAGTTCAGGCCACTAAGAAATATCCTTACTTTCTTGCCAGCTCAGCCATACATTTAAAAAGATGATTTTATGTTTAATCCAGTGTTTTTCAAGGTTTTGTAGTGAAAAGTGTTTAAAGAATACCTAGAGTATCTAGAGTACCATATTGCCAGAAACATAACTCCATCCAGCTTTTGAGCTATTAGGAGGAATCTACATACACTGTCAATTCACATCTGAATATATATATATTCAGGCGTAAGACATCATGTAGATTTCACCGATTGCCTTGCTGGAGCATCTCACTTGTCTTTGTCTGCTATTCAGCCTCCGAGCCAGGCTCAAAGCAGCTCCTGTTTTCTCTCCTTATCCAGGAGGGGCCCCAGCAACTCAGACACCTCCCTCTCCCTCAGCAGCTGACTCTACCCACTTTTCTTGTTGCACATCTGTCCAACTGCTGTATTCTTTGCTCCACAAACATTTATCTTTACCTTAAAATCTTTTACTGTTAATTACCAGAGGAGAATAGTAGATACCAGAAACATGATCGGTATAAGAAATTTCCAAGCATTTCATAATTTTATAAAAGGTCTTAGAATCATGGTCCCAATTTCCTTCTAGAGTGAGTTTTTGTCTTCCAATTTTATTCTCTTAGGGAGTTGTTCCATATTTGGTGAAGGCCAAAGGGATCCTGCTTTCAAACATGACCCTTCTTCTTAAATTGAAGATGGAAGGGCCTATGGATGCTATCAGGGCAGAACAAAGGTGTCCCTGTCCTTGTCCAGAATCGCCAGATTGAATGATTCCCAAATCAGTCATCCTCTGTCCTGATCAGGAATATCATGGGGGCGTCTGGGTGGCTCAGTCAGTTAAGGGTCTGCCTTCAGCTCAGGTCATGATCCCAGGGTCCTGGGATCGAGCCCCGCCTCGGGCTCCTTACCCAGCGGGAAGCTTGCTTCTCCCTCCGCCTGCCACTTCCCCTGCTTGTGCCCCCTCTCTCTCTCTGATAAATAAATAAATAAAATCTTTTTTTTTTTAAAGGAATATTATGGGCATTATTTTATAATCCTATTTTTAGATGCTCAAAATACCCACATATCAGCTAGACTTTGACTGTGGTCCTACTTTTAACCCCCTGGTTAGCACAAAGCTTTATTCCCTTCTGCCACGTTGATTTGATAATATGTTAGACCGCTTTACTCTCTGTCCTTTATATTTTAGCCTTTCTTTCCTATTTTCCATCTCATTGTCTCGCTGTGCTACATTTTAGGTACCCTCTTCAGATATATCTTCTAGTTTACATTCTACCTTTGACTGGGTCTAAGCTACTACTTTATGCATCCAGTAAAATAAATATCAATATTAACTGTGTAATTTCTAAAAGCTCTGCATGATTCTTTATAAAACTTTCTGGACCCAAAGTAGATATTTTGCCTAAAATCCTAGGAATAATTAGTACTTCTGTCTTAGGTATTCAGGGATTTTTTTTCTACCCCCACCACTCCATATTCAGGTATTTATGTGTTCTACTAACTCTCTGTTTTTCTCATGTATAAAATGAAGGGACTAGATTAAATTGTCTCTGACATCTCATTTCACTTTAACAGACAATAATTCTATGATCTTGGGCGCCTGGGTGGCTCAGTTGGTTAAGCAACTGCCTTCAGCTCAGGTCATGATCCCAGGGTCCTGGGATCGAGTCCCGCATCGGGCTCCCTGCTCTGCGGGGAGCCTGCTTCTCCCTCTCCCACTCCCCCTGCTTGTGTTCACTCTCTCGCTGTGTCTTTCTCTGTCAAATAAATAAATAAATAAAAATCTTTTTTAAATAAATAAATAAATAAATAAATAAATATAATTTAAAAAATAATAATAATTCTACGATCTTTAAAGATTTACTTATTTATTTGAGAGAGAGCGAGTGCTCGCGTGTGAGCAAGGGGAGGGGCAGAAGGAGAGGGAGAGAGGGAATCTCAAGCAGACTCCCCCTGAGCACGGAGCCCAATGCAGGGCTCAATCCCACAACCCTGAGACCATGCATGACCTGAGCCGAAATCAGAAGTCAGAGAGAAGCACTAATATTGGGATGCCTGGGTGGCTTAGTCGGTTAAGTGCCATGCATGACCTGAGCCGAAATCAAAAGGCAGGCACTTAACCGACTAAGCCACCCAGGCACCCCAATAATTCTATAATCTTTGGCCATGCTAACTTCAGCCTCTTTCAAAGAGATTAAAGAATAGAAATTGGTTTGTAAAGGGAGAACTCCCCTTCCCCAACTAATAAGGGCAAGTTGAAAAAGATGAAAACAAAGAGAAATGGCAGCTACATCTTTGGGGGTGAAAATGACATATAAGAAAATTGCTTCCCATCACGGTACAGTACATGGCCTACTTTTATCCTTCCTGGCACCCCAGCCCTCCAAACCCACTTCGTGAAGGAGGCCCTGCATGTGCGCGTGTACTAGCAGGAGACTGTGGCTAAGCCACAGAATCAGAACTGTACATCCTGACCATCGGCCGGGAGAACCAGCAAACTGTATCAGGTATAGCATTAGGGTTTCAGGGTTGGCAGAGCTTTAGACAGCATCAAGCCCGGTCACACTTAACTCCTGGTGTCCTCCTACAAAACTCTCAATTTGTGGTTGCCTCATTAAACACCTCCGCGTATGAGAAATGTGCCATCATCTGACACAGCTTTGCACTAGAATGAAAGCTCCATGGGTTCTGTTCACCGCTATTCACTCCTATTTGTTCAGGGCCTAGAACATATAGTAGATGCTCAATAAATATTTTCTAAAATGTTTTTTGACAGATATTGTTAAAATGAATAAACATCTTAACAACTATCATCTTCAGGAAGTTTTGCCTTGGGTTGAGCTAAAATGTGTCTTTTTCTCATGTCCTTAGTTTTGCTCTCTGGTCAGATAAAAGTTCCCTCATCTGCATACCAGATCTTGAACCATCTGAAAAAAGTTACCCTGCTCTGAGGCACCTGGCTGGCTCAGTCAGAAGAGCATGTGACTTTTGATCTCAGGGTTGTGAGTTTGAGCCCCATGTTGGGTACAGAGCTTACCAAAAAAATAAATTAAAAAAAAAAGTTATCCTGTCCTTTCTTTTCTAGAATGAATTGCTTCCACCAATTCATTCAGCGTTCCTCACATGATGTAATTTTTAAGCTTTCTCTCTGTCCTGTTGTCTCTTTTCTGGACATGCTCCAGTTTACCATTGTTCCTCTGAAACTGTAATTCGCAGAAAAGAATACAATACTCCCAGGTGCAACCTGACCAGTTCAAGCAGAGTTGGACAAACACTCCCTTAATTCTATTAGAACATTTCAAGGACAAATTCACCTTTCCCCCCGCTTTTTTTAAAGCAGTCACATCCGTTTGTGGACTCACATAGAGCTCACGGTCAAGGAGAAGTCTTAGTTTGATGCAGAAATTCAGCACGTCTAAATGTCAGAACAGGTTGCCACTAGGCAAATGTCAGAACAGGACACTAGTCACAGTGCCTTTGGTGAATGGTGCAT